GTCATACAGCATGGAGTACTCATAATCGCCGGAAATCGCACAGCTGCCTGTGACGTGGTGTATTAGAATTCGCTTTGATGTCAGAATGGACTTCCTTGCGTGCTGCGTTCATTGAAGCGTGTCTCATAACTTTACTGCCTAAGCGTGACCTGGAGGGGTCCAAAGGCGCGGGAGTCAGGCGGCGCGTCAGTGGCGCGAGCTGAGCGTGGTCCACGAATTGAGGAACATGCCCATGTCGCGCGGCGCGACATGAACGCGTTTCCAACCATTTGAGAACCACCTGATCTGCGCGCTGCCAAACGCACAACACGACTTACCCGCACCTGTGCCTAGACCTCACTCGATCGTTCCAGCGTGCCAAGCCAAGCCAGGCTCACCTAATGGATGACGGCGCCCCCTTACCCGACATGTCCATGCCTGTGTCTCGGCTCGGTTGGGACCGCAGTCCATGCTGCGACCGAGCTCTTGTCGCGGCAGCCGCGCCTCGGCGGCCAGCGCCGTGCCGTCCCGGCGCCACGTGTGACCTCGGCGCCCGTCGTTCGCAGCACGCCAGCTCGACGTCCGGCTCCATGCTGCTACCGCACATCTCGGGCGGCCACTCGGGCTCGCACAGCAGCCCCGAGACGCGCAGTCTGCTGTCGCGCGGCTCGTTCCAGCATTTCCCGTCCATCTGAGCCGACGGTGGCGCCGCGCGGCGGCCGACGCCCGACCTACCGGCGCCGGCTGCCTCCCCGCCCGCGACGTTCAGCAGGCGCCGTGTGACCTCGCGGCAGGCCGGCGCGTGGCCTCCCCGGAGACGGCGGGGCGGCTGGGCGGCGACCGGACGCCGTCCTGCTGGGCCCACTTATCTGCATCAGCGTGCCACTGGACCTAGTTATCTCTATTTTCGTATGACCTCGCGCCTGGCCGGCCTCGGCCGCGTCAGCGGACGGCGGGAGCCCCCTCCGGGCACTCTCGGCGCGGAGAGAGAGCAGCGCCCGCCCGCCAAACGCCCCACGTCACCAGATGCGCCCCTCCCCTCCCGCGGGGACGGCCCAGCGCACCCGAGCACCCGTTTGATGGCGTGCGTGCGCAGTCTGTGATACGTAGCCGGCCCTGTAGCGGCACCGGGCCGTCGTCAGCCCTCGTGTGTTGTGTGGGACAGGCCGTGACGTGTGTGTAGTGTGGTCGACTCCGGCCTGTCCCAGGAACGGCCGTCTGCAGGACGCCGACCGCTGCCCCCCACGGCCGCCTCCCCGACGGCGCGCCAGCTGCGGCTGCCACGTGTATGGGCATTCATACGCATGGGCATGTATGTGAAGTAGTCGGTCCGGTTTGATGACACAATTCACGATATCGTTCCGTTGGCACGATGCAGTTGAGTGCCGGCCATGCCACGCAAAATTACAAATAAAGAAATAAAATACACGGTAAAATAAAAGTACGGTGTGGAAGCACTCTCTGTCCTGATGGCATCAACGACGCAGGCAGCATAACTGCATGGCGGACCTATGTCCTAGACACGTCAGAGTTTTACATTTGCATGACGCAGCATGTTTAAGCGCATTGCAGCCACTCGTCAAACAACAACCGAGCCCAGCAACTGGTCCTTGAGTGTCATTGATGCCTCTTCCGCGGTGGGCCCCAATACACATTACACTGTCAGCGCCAGAGGCCTACTAGACCATCATTTGACGGGACAGAATAACGCTTGCCCGGGATTTCAAGACATGAGACGGGTAGACACACAACAGGACATGCTAATATAGTTCATCGCATCTTCGCAGAAACGCGAGCGGGCACCATCCAGCCAATGGAGCGGCTCGTCCAACTCTAGACACGAATCAGGCCTGGGACACTCTGCCAATGATCTCCTTTGACATCACCCGACGTCAGCGCGTCGACACGCGGCCACGGCCGACGTATCACCGCAAGTCTACCTACCGACATAGGCGCCATCTGGGCACAACAGCCGCCCGCCTGCGCTTGTGCTCCTCCAGCACGCGCGCCAGCATGACGGCCGAGGCACGCCCGTCCTCGGCCACGTCCGGCTCGGGCTCCACCGCTACCGCTGTCACGGCCGGTGTCAGTGACACAGCGGCCGAAGGGACCGCCACGGGGCAGGTCGATGCCGCACGGACACGGTCTGCACAGGTCACAGACGCTGAGAAGCAAGTTTACTACAGGGTTAAGTCTGAATTAAAGGGAAGAAACAGGTATGGACCAAGCATGACAACATGAGACCGGCGCTACGAGACATATCGGCTAAACAGGACTCAAATTATCATAGAGCGACGGTGTACATCTGTTTGTGAACTAAATATGTAAGTACGAGCGAGGCGCCTTGGGTGAGCGTGTCCAACTCGAACATCAAATTTTTAAACGGTCTTAAGGGCGGCACGTTTTCACACGCTGATATCTTTGCAACTACAGGCTGGAGCTTCATATGGCAACTTTGATACTTCATACTTGGGGCTTTAACAAGAAGGAATACTATTTCTGAGAAAAGTGTGCTCTATGATATAAATGACAACACAGTTGTATTTAAGCTGTCGGATCACGCGCGATTTTCCAACATGGCTGTCACACCAACAAACTACAGCCTTGTCGATTCGATGGATATGGGAGCGTTAACAAATTGACTGCGAAAGACATGCATAACAAGGATCGAAACCGGGCCTGGATCTCCTGGACCCAACGTTGCAGCAGCACGAAGCCAACACCGTTTGATGGAGGAGGGAACAAACAGTGGCATTTGCAAGAGCATGGTTCTGTGCTTGGAGCTGGTTACGCGCGTTGGAGCGTGGACCATGGCTCCACCCGTGTTTTGGACCGGATCTCAGCAACCCGGACATACAAAGACTGCAAGCAACTAAAGAGCGCAGGCGAATGTGCCATTTGCAGATCACTAACTGACCCCAATGGTGCTTGACATATTAGGCGTGCTGTGTGACACATGACAAGAAAATAGCTATCGTCGCCGTTTTTGAAACCGGTGCGCTGCTGCGCGAGCTGTACCACGAAAATTACAAGAGCGCCGTCCAGTGCAATGCGGCCAATTTTCAACCAAATAATTTGCTTTTGGAGCAGAAATTTGGTTTCGGTCACCAAGAACGGCAATGTTACTTAATCGACTTGGTTACATACATTTCTAAACCCATAGCTAGCCTATTTTCATGGAGCGAACTTTATAGATCAACCGGTGATCTCCACAACAGTGAGTTCCTATATGGAAGTCTCATGAAAGACAGGCGAGTAAGCAATCACAATCTGACCAAGGCATTGCAAAGCTCCCGCACCACACATGAGTCCTGCTGGTCTGGTTGCCTCTCCACGGTTCCGATTCCGTCCGCGACCGCCGACAGCAGCGTCGCCCAGCATCGCCGACGGCCCAACAGATGGCGCTGGTGCCGACGGGCGTCGCACTTTGAGCTCCGTGGGAGGGCGGCGGGGCACACAGGGCTTGTCGGCCTCGGTCGGGCGGGGACACTCAGAGTACGTCGGCCTCGTTCGGGCGGGGACACTCAGACTACGCCGGCCTCGGTCGGGCGGGGACACTCAGAGTATGTCAGCCTCGGTCGGATGGGGACACTCAGAGTATGTCAGCCTCGGTCAGATGGGGGCACTCAGAGTATGTCAGCCTCGGTCGAACGGGGACACTCAGAGTATGTCAGCCTCGGTCGGACGGGGACACTCGGAGTACGCCGGCCTCGGTCGGATGGGGACACTCAGAGTATGTCAGCCTCGGTCGGATGGGGACACTCAGAGTACGTCAGCCTCGGTCGGATGGGGACACTCAGAGTATGTCAGCCTCGGTCGGATGGGGACACTCAGAGTACGTCAGCCTCGGTCGGATGGGGACACTCAGAGTATGTCAGCCTCGGTCGGGCGGGGACACTCAGAGTATGTCAGCCTCGGTCGGATGGGGACACTCAGAGTATGTCAGCCTCGGTCGGATGGGGACACTCAGAGTATGTCAGCCTCGGTCGGATGGGGACACTCAGAGTACGTCAGCCTCGGTCGGATGGGGACACTCAGAGTACGTCAGCCTCGGTCGGGCGGGGGCACTCAGAGTACGTCAGCCTCGGTCGGACGGGGACACTCAGAGTACGTCAGCCTCGGTCGGATGGGGACACTCAGAGTACGTCAGCCTCGGTCGGATGGGGACACTCAGAGTACGTCAGCCTCGGTCGGGCGGGGGCACTCAGAGTACGTCAGCCTCGGTCGGACGGGGACACTCAGAGTATGGTCAGCCTCGGTCGGATGGGGACACTCAGAGTACGTCAGCCTCGGTCGGGCGGGGGCACTCAGAGTACGTCAGCCTCGGTCGGGCGGGGACACTCAGAGTATGTCAGCCTCGGTCGGATGGGGACACTCAGAGTACGTCAGCCTCGGTCGGGCGGGGGCACTCAGAGTACGTCAGCCTCGGTCGGGCGGGGACACTCAGAGTATGTCAGCCTCGGTCGGACGGGGACACTCAGAGTATGTCAGCCTCGGTCGGGCGGGGACACTCAGAGTACGTCAGCCTCGGTCGGATGGGGACACTCAGAGTATGTCAGCCTCGGTCGGATGGGGACACTCAGAGTATGTCAGCCTCGGTCGGGCGGGGACACTCAGAGTATGTCAGCCTCGGTCGGGCGGGGACACTCAGAGTATGTCAGCCTCGGTCGGGCGGGGACACTCAGAGCACGCCGGTCTCGGTCGGGCGGGGACACTCAGAGCACGCCGGCCTCGGTCGGGTTCATTCACGTCTCTATCTGACCCCCTTTTCATCTTCCTCTCTGCGAAGATGTCCCTGACAAGCAAGATTGATACCTGCTGTGAAGTTTGCACGGAAGCTCCCGGTGTGACTGGCATCTGCTCAAAAAGGGGCATCCCGACCGGTTGTATATTCGGATGCGATCAGTTTGATCCAGCTATGTACCGCTATCAGCATAAATGGAAACGGTGACTCGATCACCAGGTAGAACTGTACCATGATGATGGATATGTGTTCTGGTTGAACCTGGCAGTGGCACATTATGCCGGTGAAGCTCTCAGACAGCTGGAGCAACCCCAAGTCCCCCAAGTGGGACGAGCAGAAAACGTCTCAAATGTGTCTCAGTTGCTGCCAATCGAGGACTTTCTGGGATTAGCCAAACAGAAAGTGTCCTGGGTTGGCTGATGGGCTACAACTGACAACCAGGTGAAGTGCGCTGGGTTGGCTGGCGGGCTACGACTGACGACCAGCTGAAGTGTGCTGGGTTGGCTGGCGGGCTAGGAGTGATGACCAGCTGAAATGCGCTGGGTTTGCTGGCGGGCTAGGAGTGATGACCAGCTGAAGTGCCGTATTCGCCGACAGCTGGATGCTTTCAACAAGAAGGTCTCGCGCAACACGATGAGGGTAAGACAACGCGCTCGTGCAGCAGCGCGGCATGGGGAGTGCGTTGGTTCTTTTCTTGGTCAGTACGTCAGTCCTGGCTCTTTATGTTATGCTCTTGATCGCCGCACGGATAGTGGAATGTCACAGTTTGAATGACATTATTATGGCGTCATGTATGGTCGGATGACCTTGACATGGTCTCCCCGAAATAGTCTGCACATCTTCGCGGACGTATGGCTCAGAAACCAGAGGGGTTTTGGTCTTGAGAAGGGCGTGACTGTGAACTACACCGGCTGATCTTCAGGGTGGCTTTTTCAGCTTAGAACCCCATACGACTGTGGAACATTCCCTTTACGAAGCCAATACTGTGCCCGGCCGGCTCCATGGGAGCCTCTCGGATGTCGCGGTGGGCGCGCCACTGCCAGGGAGCGCTGCTCTGCAGGCTGGGTCTGACCTCCAGACGACACCGCTGCTGCCCCGCCGCAGAACAAGCGTCTCCATCGCTGCGAACGTCCCAAGGCCGGCTGGGGCCAGTCATTGCCACCAGACGGACCGCACACACGCGCAGCCGGCGCCAGTCCTCTGTCGCCGGGCCGACGAGCAGCTGGCCTCGCCGGTGCCCGCGCCTCTCCTCGGAACAGGTACGTGGTGTTCCCCAGCTGGCACTGGCCTCGTCGGCTTCAAACGTCGCGAGAATATGGCGTCGCAGGGTACGCATCGGACAGATGGCAAGGCTAGATACCGGTCGATCTCTCGTGGAATGAGTCCGCAAACGCTTCACTGTTACGCTATCGGTCATGCTCCGTAACAATAAACAGATATCGGACTGTACAAGTAGTCACAGTTGATTACAGAAGCAAAGAGTCCACAGAGCGAGTCTCACGCTGTATACAAGCGTTCCGGTGAAAGGCCCTGCTCGACTCGATCAGACCATTGCGTGTTTTACCAGCTCTCATCGGCCCCTCTCCCCCCCCCCCCAAAAAAAATGTTTGATATCCGTGCGGTTTTCGCTGACATGCACTAAGTGGGTGGTGCACCTTCACATTACCACGGAAGCTGCCAGTGTCTGCATCCGCCTACCTCGTCTTGCCTGCTGGTCCAGAGCAGTGATACAGGTCACCTCTCTGAGCGCTCGCCAGGATCAGGAGCTCGGGTCACCTATCTAATCGTTCGTACATGATAAGAAAAGCGGAGCATGGTACAGATCACCGCGTGCGGTTCGGTGGAGGGTCAAAGACCACAATTGTCGCCTTGGGCCTTAGTTGCCAAGGCGCAGCCAGGATCCGAGCCAGGACACCCCGCCAGAGAGCCGAAAGTCCCAGGCACCTGGCCATTCCCCCCCCTTTTCTGGCGGTCCGTTTGGAACAAAAGCATTGCCATTCTTTTTTGGGCATTGTTATTTTTCACTCGATGTGGACCTCTGACCTCAAATGTTGGTCGTTTTCTCTGACCGTTCATAAGGAGCAGTAAAACCCGCAATCCTCGCAGTAAGATGGAATCTGCACGGGGAAGCGTGTCCGATTCACAGGTAGTAAGTCTGCGGTATTATCCCTCCCACAGATAGCCGGGTGATCACAATGGGCTCGGAAAGAGAGACAGTTCCACTCTCCATCGGTGAAGAATGGTGGAAAGTTATGTGAACTCTTTGAGGGATATGTATGCATCCCTGAGCTGTGACCTGCAACCCCGATATCTTTTCCAAGCAAAACGCCTCTCACGGCTACTTCAAGTCAGTGCTTTTATGTGAACTTAAGAATGTTATAAGGGCGATGGCAAAAGGTCTTTTGAGATCAGTTTGGTGCTTTTCATCTCTCTGCATCATCAGAACAGCTATTCAGTTCTTTACAACTATACAAAGTATGCGCCGCTACGTCACATGATCCGAAAATTGCTGTTTTTTGCCATCCCTAGGGCGGAGGAAAGCGTTAAGCATGAGACAAATTGACCCCACCCGAACGCGTGTTAACCCACAACAAACGCAACGCTTCCGGGATCTCGATGCAACACTTCACATGCACGGTGATATGGCGAAACTATGCTTAGCATTGGTCCGTTGTCTGTACTTGCGATTTTTCATTGCCACAATGCTGACTCGGCTAGTGCACAGATAGTTTATTTTCACTGTTTTTTTTTTTAATCCAGGCTACGCCGCACTCACAATGTTCCTTTTCTCTGGTCTGCAATGGTATCGGTTTTTATTTCAAGGAACAGCATCTCTGTTGTCTTGCCAGGAACGTCATCAAATAAGTATTTCAGGGGCACCAGAGACTAGGGTAGCCACATGTGTTCAGAGGCCGCAAATTCAACCGAGAATCGCATCCAGACTTCTCCCGTGGAGACACATGTCGTTGCCAACTGAGCTATTGCGCCCCCGAGCTGTCGCACCTTGCATCTCAGAGCATTCACAGCGGCTCTGCCCCCGTCCACAGAGTGATCGTCGCCATTACCGGTCCCCTGAGACCCCCACGCCATGAGCAGAGGCCCTTGGCCACGTCCCCACGAATGACGTTTCCAGTGCTGCGTATCACCCGATGACGTCCATGGGCCCCGGTCCGCAGAGATGTCGTCACCGTTGCCGTTCCCCTGGGACCCGGAGTCTCTCGATCCGGAGACCCTGAAGCGCGTGACGGACGCCTTCCCAAACCACAAGGAGAGTGGCATGGCCTATTTCGGGCCGTCACGCTGCCTGGCCGTACCGGACTCGAAGCCGTTCTTCGAGGAGTACTACAATACGCCGCTGCACTCGGGAGATACCTGGGTCGTGACGCTGCCCAAATGCGGTGAGAGGCGGCGCTCGCCAACAGCGAGTGCGAGGCCTCACCACGACTCAGAACCATTCCGGGTGTTTGGACGTGCTCGTTCTTTGGTTCTAATGTGTCAGTTACTTAAAGATTAAGTGAGCAGTCCTTGACCGTGTTGTTCATGAGCGGAGCTTTAATAGCGAGTCGCTCCCGATAACACGGTTGCCGTTTTCCTTACGAAAGTAGACGTTTTGAAACAGCCGGCTTCGCACAGCGGCCAGGATGATACCTCCAGTCCAAATGGGCTTGTTCTACAACCGCAGACAGATGTCCATTTGTCTTCAGGCAGTTTTGTTCCATCCATCTTCATCATTCATGCTTCACTTTACCTGTGTCATGATCAACTTTGTTCTCACTCATGTGAGAGTTGCTTCTCGTAACCTAAAGCACGCAACGCTGCCTCCTAAAGGCGTTCAAAGCCATCACTCACCACGCAACCAGCAGCTTAACTGCTGATGCTCCCCTAAATAAACAGAAAATAACTTGCCGTTGGGTACTACTGACCTCTGAACCGTACACTCGCCAGGGACCACGTGGACGCAGGAGCTGGTGTGGCTGCTACAGAACGACTGCGATTTTGAGGGCGCCAAAACCATGCTGATGCCCGACCGCTGGCACTTCCTCGAACCCGCGGGAATTACGGAGAAGGGAATGCGCGAGATGGTCAGCAAGGGCGACGACCAGCCCATGAAGCGGCTCTTGTGCGAGCCGATCGTGTCGCGGCCGCAGCCCTGGTTTGTCAAGACTCACCTACCGCTGCACATGTGCCCGCCCAAACTGCTCGACACGTGCAAGGTGCGGGGACGAGGCTTACCGACCGCCGAAGTGACTCGGATGGGTCGAGCGTGCGGCACCTGGGAATGCATGCGCTGTGGCGGTGTCAATGAACCAAGCGTTGTTTTGCTGTACATTGAGCTGTAATGCATGTACGGGAGATATTTCAATTAATTATGAACCACGGCGTATTTGCTCAAGTGGCTTGATGCAGTATGCATGGAGGGAGAGATATCATGACCTCACGTATGCGTCGTTTAGCATTTGTTATTCTCGGATCGAAATAAGTTTGCACGCAGCTCATGCTTCCGTTTTTGACCAAAATTACCCACCTTCTTTTTCAGGTGGTGTACGTGGCGCGTAACCCGAAGGATGTATGTATATCATACTTCTGCTTCCTTGGCCTGTACAACGAGACTTCCAAGGACCTTACCCTCGAGCAGTTTGTCGATCTCTTCATTGAGGGCAACGTCTTACAGCTACCCTTCTTCCCACACGTTCTAGAGGCCTGGCGGCAGCGCAACCACCCAAACATGCTGTTCCTTTTCTTTGAGGATCTTAAGAAGGACCTCCGTGGAAGTATCATGAAAGTTGCCAGCTTCCTTGGCAAGAACCCAACCGAGGAAAATCTGGACAAGCTGGAGGACCATCTGCACTTTAGAAACTTCAAGAATAACCCTTGGGTGAACTGGGAGTGGCTGACGAAGACTGTCTGTAACAGCGACGACCCGAACAAGAGCTTTATGAGGAAAGGGCAAACTGGAGACTGGAAGAACCACTTCACGCCAGAAATGGACAAGAAGATGGAAGCGTGGATAAAAAAGGAACTGGAAGGCACTGAGCTCACATTTGTCATGGAAATTCCGGAAGATGGAAAGTAACTTGACACATTTCTCTCAAAGGGTCAACGATATTCGTCTCAAGTTGATCGCAAGCCGATCCAGACAAGATGCCCAAACCGGCAAAAATGCGTTGTTGTCTGATCATGTCTCCTGGTTCATTGTCATCTTCTGACGCTGCAACATTCCGGTCCACTTAATCGCATTGACAATGAACTCCACTAAAACTGGTCGTGTCTTTTTATGTCTGTTAAATGTCCTGCCCGTGTTGTACCCATGCTGCAATGTGCATGTGTTTGACATGTTGGATATCTTAACGGCGTCATGATGGCATCGGTTGCCAGGGAAATCCCGTGGAGGAAATGTGGCAGGGATGATTTTTATGGTTAAGTCAGCCAAATATTGTTTAAGTCATCAAATATGCTATAAAATATGCATTTATTTGCTACTGTAACAACACATTTCTCAGGCTCCCATATACCAACCTTGGGAATACGAAAACCAGTCTTAGAATAAGTCGCGACTTGCGTAATAGCACTGTGTTTGCATTTGTGTTTAGGCAGCACGTGCATCCACACTCACAGATGGTTTCACACACCTCAGTGAAAAGGAATAACAACATACATGTCAGTTGTGGAAAAAGGAGAGCACAGACAGAACGTGAAAGGCCCAGATTCACACCGAAGTCAGCAAAAGGTAAAGCAAGCGCATACGGATCCAAAACATCTTGAAAGCGGCAACCAACTGGCAAAAAAAAAATGAGATGCGTGATATAAGTAGCAAGAACGGTCTGGTCAAATTCATACAACGCAATATCATTTGTTTGAGAGACCTTTTTAAGTGTGGTATGCCTAGCTGCGCTAGCACTGGTGGCACCCTAATAAACTTGCTCGACGCACATGCGAGCCGCCAAATGGATTTGTCCGCGCACCACGAAGCCGACCTGCTTGCCTCGTGCTAGAGCTGTTTGAGACTCTGGCAAACATGTCAGTTATGTCAGTAAGTTGCTGAGTGTCGAGTGCCGTCACCATGGGGCACGTCGGATGGTATGACACCATTTGCTGGCTCGAAGTGATCCACATCATTAACATATCACAGATGTGCTGTCATTCCCCCGTCATGTTCTTCCGTTCATGGTTGCTCCATGCACTGGTCACACGAGCACAGAAATTTACACCTTTTGATGCGGTGCAACATGGTGCTTTCACAGCCACTGTGCACTGAACTGCAATAGCGCATTGCGCTGATAACTGATAACGTCTCCTTACTACACTATCGTCACAAAGGTGTAGTGGTTGACGCGTCTGCGTTAACCACTGCGCGTCTGGAAACCACAGGTACGGGGCTCGACTCCCCACGGTGCCCGGCCTTTGGTGCTAGGGTGAGAGGCAGGCAAAGCCCTACAGCCCCAGCAGCTGATTGCGTCGTGAAGTCCCAATGACTCACGAGCTGATAACTCAAACGTTTACAATGCGTATGGTGAGGCGCAGAGATGGCAGAAGAGGCTTGAAGTGCAACGACGGAATTAGTTTGCCTATGGTTGTAAAGCGGGCATGCCACGTTTGTACTTTTACCTATTGTTAGATCGGAAGCGTAAGACTTGATCAGCAATACCAGTTTTCTCAAAATCCTTTCAGAATAGTCCAGAATTTCTGTTCGAAGAAGCCGATCCTGAGCGAGAGATTTCATTTGGATGCGTTGCTCACCACTATGACAATAATGCAGTTCATTTGCCTCACCTTTTCAATCGTATGTGTTCTTTAATGTTGGCAACTCCCTAATTTGTCAAAATGTTTGTGTAATCAATGCCATGAAACCTTGAAACACTATAAGACAAAAACATATGTAAACACGGAGTTATTACCCGCGAATTCAATGAAATACTATACAATGGCTTCGATTTCTTCCCTATGGCGTTCACCACAGCAGCTCTTTCCGAAGTGCAATCTGGTTTTGGAATAGCAGCTTGTGGTCAGTGGGTCAATCACGAACGGTCCATTCCTCGCACAAGTATGGGTGTCGCGTCGGTCGTCATGACGACAGCGGTCGCGACTTCAAGAAATAATTGAAGTGCTGTTTTGAAGCGTTGACACCGTAATTCAGACACGAAAATCACGAAAAATTGCATTTTGCTTATGTCACAGTGGTGCTACAACGGCGCTAATAAGTGTTGCTCTTACATATAACCAGTCCTGACCTTTCGCTAGAGTACATTTTTGAAATGTGCTCCAAACGTGTGACACTTCCTTCAACCAGCAGCGACTTGATGTAGCCATCAAAAGAAATGCAGCGAGTCATGATGGTATCGATGATTTCAACCGCTCTACTTTAAGAGAAAAAAGCAAAATTGTCATTTTTTCTACACACGTAATAATTTGCCCAGTGTCTTGACGGTTCGAAACCCAATCATCTGGGTTTTCAATGCATTGCCTTTGATGGAAGTCGCGCAATACCAGTTGGAAACGTTTTCTAATGTTGATTCCATGGATGTAGTTAAAGGATCAATGTACCGCTTTTTGCTCCAGAATAATATTTGTGCATCATCAACATATTGCCAACTGCTCACCAAATCAGAGTAGTGTGTGAGATCGTTTGTGAGAATTAAGTAAAATTGGTCCCATTCCAATGTTTTGTTACCCCCGCATGGTCATTGGAAGCGATGTAGAACGTGTAAGCTTTCCTGTGCTGTTCCAAACTTGGACCTGTTTGGTGTAACCTGCGAGGTAGTTAGAAACCCACTGGGTAGCGACACTGTAGCGCATACGTTTAGGTAAAAGCATCCCGTTATCAATAAAGTCAAAACATACTGACAAATCCATCAACACGACTAAATCAATTTTACCGTTCTTCATTGAGGACATAGTACGCAATAATGCGGCCTGACGGAAAGAATAGAGTAATCTCGGCTGAAAAGTGCCGTCTATAGCTGTGTTGATTGTTGACAGGCAAACGGTGTTTGGTAGAGTACTTCCTAAGCTGGCTGTGTGCGATTTTCCAAAAAATCTTTGCGACTGCAGGTACTACGGAACTTGATTGGCGTTGGAATGGGTCGTCTAGATCGGTTGTCTTTGGAAGCGCTGTGGCGTATGCATGCTACCACGTTCCAGGGACGTGTCCAAGCACGAGGCTGGAGCGATGTTTAATGGTCTGATTTGGTCTTTTACAGGTCTAAAAGGACATACTCAAAGTCACTGTAGCACTTCACAAAAATCTGAACACTTTCGTCGTCATCACAAGACGATTTCGATGATTTCATGGATGACACCAGGTGCCAGAGGCATTGGAGCTTTACAGAAGACACACGGAATGAACAGCCGGCAAGTCGTGGCATTCTGAACGGCATATCTCGCAAAACTGGTGGGACGCTCGTTGCCATGGGCACTCCCACCCCTTCGAAATGGCGGTTTAATGCGTCCGTGTTCACATTGGGACCAGCGGCTGCCAATGCCCACTTCGCTGGGCAAATTACCCGCCTCGAGGCAAATAAAATTTGGTCGAGGTGGTCGAAACCTAGTATATTCAGGCAGCAGGACATGACAGCTAGCGATTCTGGCTTGGCTCTAATAATCTATCATGCAAACTCAAAAAGAACCATGGGAACAACAAGGGCAACGCGCACACCAGTACGCAGCACGGCAGTGAAGCGGTTTGCGGCAACCCTGAAAATTGGCGAGTTACACGGTCTATGCGTAGGATGCATTGGGCTGCGTGGTTGCAGTCAGTCGTCGCATGTCTTTCATCCGCAGTCCGTTTGACCCATACGCGGTGACCATAATCACTGATTAAGGTTGTGGTCGCCCTCAACAATTACAATGCCAGGGCGTTTCGAAATTACATACCTGACATAATGTTTGAAGTCGTCTATATCAACTCCGACCTGACCAACGGCGTTTGCTGCTGTCCATAAAAGCCCGTAATGCTGCACATCGCTTTGCGGCGGTGCAAATCTCAACCCAGTCTCGACATCTGATGCGCCTGAAGCGCGGGGCACGTCGACATTCTGACCGCAAAGGCGGCGCCGACAACCACGGCGACGCGTCCGCGCCTTTGCTGGGGGAGCTTGAGACTGGTTTATTACATTCGCAATGGTGGATGTTACACCGTCGGCCGTCAGCAGTCGCTGAGGGACTTCCGGTTGGACTGCCCGCTGTTCGACAGTGCAACCGGGAGATCTATGTGGGTCCACCTATCCTGCACCACTAAACCCTATCAAATCACGATAGACATAAAGCTGAAACTGGACATAAGCGAGACAGGCCTTGAGCTCTTGGTTCCTCAGCATCACGAGTTACGAGTTCTTGTGCTGACGATAAATGATCTTCGGTGACAGCAATGGACCGTCATGTTTCTGGCGAACCTTCCTCGGGTATAATTACATGCGCTGGGATGTGGCAAATCTGTGCGGCACTCTTCCCATAAAAGAAGATTAGCATATGATAATGAGTCACTGAGAAAAATCTTAATAGCACATGTTGAGTTCAGAACAGCGAGCAGTGGACTGTGCACAACTGCTAACTCACACATCTAATAAACAAAAACTCACGCGCCTCGAAAACTCGGTGTGCCCAGAAACAAAAGGCGTGGGGATGGATAGCTGCTGTGCACCATCCCTGGCTACATTTACAAGCGGTTCGTGCCTGCTTCGCTGCAGGAAGAGACGACACCGGCAGCGTCGGTGGCGGCGGCGTTTTATACACGTGATTTGGGGCGCCCGAACCGGGTTCCAGCCATGCAATCTCCCACAATTGTGTTTTTTAGCGGTGTTTTTGACCTCTGTCACCATGACTATATCACGGCGAGCTAGAATTGCCTTTGGGCTAGGGTGGGAGTGAAAAATTTCATCGCAAAAAGACCGTACAGGAGAGAAAAATTCGATTAGCAAAAGTTGGACTTTATGAGTCAGTGAAAGATGCTCCAGCAAACAAATACATGCATTTCAAGCTGGCATGGATGTATATCACAAATATGACAAATTACGTTTTTTTGCTTCTTCTCATCCTAGGTCATTACACTGAAGCAGAATACATTAGATAATAATTATTTCATAACAGTGGGATGAGCACCAAAAACTATGTAACACCAATGTTTTGATGCTGCACTTTGCACTTCCCTTCCACAGGATTTCTTGACATCAAACAAAGCAATTGAATTCAACAACAAAAACAATAACCAAAACTTCAAAAAGCATAAAGTATCCCAACGAAAAAGTATTGAACTCCTGCACAATCACCAAATCAAATAAACAACATACTTTTGACCTTTGTTAAGATGGAGTCAGGAAGTACAAACATAATGTCACTGTTTCTTGCAAATTACCTATGCTTATTTCGATGAAAGCAACCTGGCTAAGCTTAACCTAAAAGGGTCTTTCCTTATCTCATCCTGTTATCAACACCGTGGGCTGATAATTCCTTTGGTTAAATGGCATACTAGACATGTACCCAACATTGCACCATAACAGATGTCTCTATTCTCTTGAAGTGTCATTCATTTATCGATAAATACATCTAATGCGGTCGTACAACTGTGATGAATTGATATAATTGCTTCTTGGCCGATTTCATGGGTTGTAACACCTCTGCAGATAATGGTGCGAGATTGTCATTGCACATGTTGAATATTCAAAAGCCAATCGGACAGCAATCCCAGTATTCATATCTTTAAAAACAGCAAGATTCGCAGCTCCAGCATAAATATACCTAAGAACACCTTGACCAATCACTTAACATGCAGCACTCAACAGCCGGTAGCCTATGCCACAATATTCATAACTGACTCGCTGTGCAGTGACTGAGTCATTACGTAGTCAGTTGTGATGCAGAACGTTTAAAGTGGGTCACGATATGTAAACCGAGACATGGCGTGGCTTGGCAAAGAACAAGATATATCAGATTAGCCTGAAGGCAATCTTAAA